AAGGAGAAAAAAAAAGCTCTAGGCTGGGGGAACGCGGAGGGGAGCGGAAGCCCCTGCCGGACTCCAGCCAACCGGGCACCAGCAAGGAGGTGGGCCATGGGGCCCCTGGGGGCGTGGGTGCCCCTGAGCCTTTGACCACTGAGCTCGGGCAATGGAGCCAAGGCCAGGGGGGCTGCTTCCTGGGCGGCGCTGCCGTCCCGGCAACAGGCTGAAGCAGCACAGGAGCCCGCGGAGAACAAAGGGGTGCCACAGGCCAACCTGCTGAGCTCCCAGGACAAGGAGGAAGAAACCAAAGAAGTTCTCAATGTGAAGAAATCAAGTGAGAGCAAAAAATAGTAAAATTACTTAAGAAAGAATACAAAGAAGATCTTGAAAAATCAAAGACTAAGTCAGAACTCAACCCACCAGCCAACATTGCAACATAAATGCGTTTTAAAAAGAAAAAAAAAGGACAGAATGTTGGAACAGCGACGGCCAGGCCTAGAGTGGCCAGGCACAAGGCAGTGGCAGCCAGACCCGGAGCAGCAACGGCCAGGCCCCAGAACAACAGCAGCCAGAACCAGAGCATCAACAGCCAGCACTGGAGTAGCCAGACCTGGGGCAGTGGCAGCCAGGCATGAGGCGGAGGCGGCCAAGCCCAGGGTGGCCAGTCCAGGAACACCCAGACCCGGAGTGGCCGGGCCCGAAGAAGCCGGGCCCAGAGCAGCCGGGGTGGGAGCAGCCAGACCCAGAACAGCAGTAGCCAAGCCCAGAGCATCCAGGTCGGGAGTGGCCAGGCTCGGAGCGGCCGGGCCCGAGGCAGCTGGGCCCAGAGCAGCCGGGTCAGGTGCGGCCAGGCCCGGAGCAGCAGCTGCCAGGCTGGGAGCGGCCAGGCCCGGGGGAGCAGGCGGGTCCGGTGCGGCCAGGCCCGGAGCAGCGGCTGCCAGGCTGGGAGCGGCCAGGCCCGGGGGAGCAGCAGCCAAGTCCAGAGCAACTAGGTCGGGAGCGGCAGTGACCAGACCCGGAGCAGCTGGTTGTGGAATGAACCAGAGCAACAGAGGCCAGGCCCTGAGCAGCCAGGCCCAGAACAGCTCGCTCCTTGCCTGCCCCTGCCCCACGGCTGCTTCTCAGACATGGCTGGAAACTTTCGTGGGAACTTGAGTGTCTGCTGAATCAAGTGATGAAGGCTTAGATCTGGATGTGTTGAGTTAGTTTAGGACTGGGGTGTTGATCTGTGAGTGCCTTGGGTGGGGCCTGGATGAGGCTGGTTGACCTAATGGGAAATGTCTTTTGTGTGAAGTGTATCATTGGGCATGTGGAGGTATTATTGATATGAGAAAATGCTAAGTAACTGATTTACTATCTGAAAAGGGATTTACTATTGGGGAAATTGAGGGAAGAAGAGACTGAACATAAACTGCACCTATGGATGAGGACAATGGGGGATGGGGGGGGACGGAGGGTGGGGTGGGAACCTGGTGGAGGGGGGAAGAAATGAGGAACCTTTGTAATAATATGAACAATAAAGATTGCTTTAAAAAAAAATAAATAAATAAATAAAAAATAAAAAAAAATAAAAAAAAAAAAAAAAAAAAATAAAAGCTAATGTAAAATAGTGAAAGTTTTTATGAAAGTTGTGCATGTGAGTCCGAGAGGAAAGGATTTAGACAAAGATTGGAAGAGAAAGTGATATGGGTGTATAAGTGTAAGTATGTATGCGAGAAAGAGAGGAAGAGAGAGAGAAGGTGAGGCCAGAAGAGACAGAGACGGTCTGAAAGAAAGGGAGACTTAGACTCTAAGGGTTTTTAACCTCGAGGAAGAAGACCAGGGCTCCTTTCAATTAAGCTCCCAAGGGTAAGCAAGAATAGAGGGACCCCCTGGGAATTCGGGCCCCAAGGAAATTCCCTAGGAGAGCATTAGAAGGTTGGTTTCACAGAGATTAAGCCACCAGCATTAAGGTATAAGTATATGCTAGTTTTTATAGACACCTTCCCAGATTAGGTTGAAGCGTAGAATAGAAACTGCCTCTATAGTAGTCAAGAAATTAACAACAGATTGACAGCATCTTGGCCAAACCCATCTAGGTACATTACCACCGTTTAGCCGTAGCTGACCAGGAGCAAGATTGTGAACTTTACCATCGCTCCCTCCCTGCGGGGACAGCATGATGACCAGAGGAATGCTTACCTACTCCCCACTAAGGAGAAAGGTATGGGTACCGATATGGGTGTAGAGCAAAGCATTGCAAGGGAAGGTCCAAAAAATTTTCCAACCCCCTCTTCCCAAGGGACGGTCACGGGAAAATTTCGACCCCCCTCTAGATTTCCCTGTGAGTATACCTGGTTTGCATAGAGGTTGGTATCAATACAAATCCAATCGGCTCTGCCTCTCCTCCCCAAAAGATACCAAGAGCCACTACTAGCACTGGTGGGCCTGGGAAACCCACGGGAGGAACCAGGTCACTACTCCCCCAATCAGTTAAGGCCCACCCTCAATAAGACAAAGAGGGAGGAGATGTTGGGAGCCATCAGAGTTGAGACGTGCAACTCCGTCTTAAGGAAATAGAATAAAGTTCCTTCTAGCAGAAGTTATGCGGTGCCCTGAGGGTTTGGCCAGAAGCTATTAACCTGCTGCTTAGCATCTCTGCAACTTCCCCTTCCTGATCCTCCCCCATAGCTAGCACAGCCTTGGAATGTTACCCGCCCTGGCAGTTAGCCAATCCTGTGTTGCCAGATACCTTACCACCTTGCCACTCAGTGCCTAAACCAATTATACACTGCCAAAGACCCCTCTGCGTAGGCAACCCTGCCCCCCCTTTGTTCCTGCTGTATATATACTGCCATTTCAAAAAATAAAGTTGGAGGCTTGATCAGAACTTTGTCTTGCCTCTGTTCTTCGCGTTCCTTGTTTGTTTCATTCTCTTAGCCCCTCGGGTCGGGACACACCAAGAGATTTTGGGTCCTATTCCAGGTCAGGGCACATACCCAGGTTGCAGGTTCCATCCCTGGTTGGGTTGTGTGCAGGATGCAACTGATAGATCTCTCTCTCTCTCTCTCTCTCTCTTTCTTTCTCTCTCTCTTCCTCTTTCAAAAAACAATCAATTTTTTAAAAAGTCAATATAGGGAATGCTGGCTTCTTACTTTTTTGAGATTTCTAAAGTTAAAAATTCTAATTAAATTGGAAATAAATTATATAGTTTTAATAATAGAAAATATAAAGTATGAAGATACATTTTTAAGATACCATTCTGCAGAGACCACAAATTCCCTTTGTTATTCAGTTAATTGTTGACTGTTAACTATCCTGTTCCCAACTATGTAAAATAAACTTATATCTATCATTTTACTTTTTATCCAGTCCCAGAGATTTTCCCATTTTGCTTTCTCCTGCCTCCCTAATCTATCAGCATTGAGTTTTCTGTAACCTATTTATATCTTCTCTTTTTATTGTGACATATAAAATATGGTGAAAAACTCATTCCCTAAAGTATAATCTCAATCCATTGAGATTTTGCTTCCCAGTAATTGTTTAGTTCAAATAAACTTTTAAAAAATTATCTACAGGTTTAAATGTTTATGTGACTTCAGTTACGTTTCTTGTACCATTTAAGTTTATGGACCAAAAATTTTACCCTCTATAATATTCTTTCTGCTATAAATTATATTTCATTCTAGGTTAGATGTATACTATTGTCATCATTATTTTCTAAATTATTTTTCATTACAATTTCAATTCTTTCTTGGCACAATAGTTTCATCTTCCTATCCCAGGTTTTATTTGCTGTTTAAAAGTACCTGTTATGCTGAAACCGGTTTGGCTCAGTGGTAGAGCGTTGGTCTGTGGACTGAGGGGTCCCGGGTTCGATTCTGGCCAAGGGCATGTACATTGGTTGCGGGCACATCCCCTGTGGGGGGTGTGCAGGAGGCAGCTGGTCGATATTTCTCTCTTGTCAACGTTTCTAGCTATCTCTCTCCCTTCCTCTCTGTAAAATATCAATAAAATATATTTTTTAGAGTGCCTGTTATATTTTATAGAAATTCAGTTGTTTTTCAGATATTATTTTTTAAAATAGATTTCAGCATATGAAACTGAACATTTTCATATCTGTGAAAACACATTTTTTCTAGAAACTTCTAAATATAAATATAATATTGTATCTATGAATATGTGTATTTTTGAAATTACTTAATTTTTATGGTCTTAGATTTTTAAAGTATAGAAATCCAAATTTTGCAGTCAAAATATTTATGTCCACAATTTGCTGCTTAGGTTTTTGTTTTTGTTTTTTATTTAATTGGGTTTTTTTTTTTCATTGCTCTCTTTCTCTGTAAATTCTTTATACACATTATGCATATTTTTCTGGTTTCATTAAACTAGGTAAGATCAGATAAAGGTGTCTTTTAATGTTACTTAAAAAGTAATGAAGTCAGATAATTAAAAGCAATAAATACATAATAAATTAGAGTTACTTTGTCAAGATCACAGTCATTTCTAGAATCAGCTTTATTTGTGCAATGAATCTCTGAGGAAATGTCGCCTCCTCAGGGTGCCTTTGTATCTAAAACAGAATCACATGTGGCCCCCCACCAACACACATAATTTCTATCTTTTTACCTGGTGTTCTTTTTCTCTGTAGCTATTTATCTTCATCTGAGACACTACATATTTTGCTTCATAGATTCTAGGTCTGAGTTCTCAAACTTGGTCTGATTTATGTACTGATGTATCCCAAACTCCTCCAATAGTAGCTGGCACACAGTAGGCCTTAATTAAAGCTTAAATAAAAATACATCGAAAGAACCTAGAAATTGCCTTAGGCTCAGAATAACTGTTCAATAGGCGGATTCACTAGTGGTGCAGAAACGTTAATTATAAGATATCTACAAGCCCTTTCCTCCTTTGAGATGATGATTAAAGTTAACTGGCCTAGAAGTAGTCTCCATTTATCAGCCTTTGGTTAATGAAGAGGTTTCAGAGAAAATTATCAGCAAAATGGAGGGGGGCGGGCACAGAGGAAAATCTTAAGCGGTATCTTCAACGGGGCAATCCCGGGCTAAATGCCCGGACTTTCCACAGTTGTAGCAGTTGACCTCCATTTTCTTGATACAGTTTATGGCTATATGGCCAGTCTTGCCACAACGGTAGCACTTGATTTGGGTGCAGTCTTTCTGAATGTGACCATATTCACCACAAGAGTAGCACTTCTGTTCTTCCTGGTGGTCACAATCACGAGCCAGATGGCCTGATCTGCCACAAATGTAACAGCACTGCTCTCTTGAGCGCTTAGGCTTGTCAACACAGTCTTTGGCGATGTGGCCACTTCTCCCACAGTTATAACAGATGTCCTCATTTAGATCACAGTTGTTAGCGTAATGACCAGATTCACCGCAGCGGTAACAGATGTCAGATGGAGTGGCGGAACTGCCACGGCCTCTCGTTCTTTGCCTTGGAGTTTGTTCTTCTCTAGGGCATCCCCGGACCCAGTAGCCAGAGCGTACACGCTTGAAATATTCCTTGCTGCTCATGGCTACAGGAGGATCTTCCAGTGATCCGGTGTTACCACTGCCCCAGAGGTTTCCACACAGCGCCCCTTAGTGTGGCTTAGAAAGCAATGGCTGATTTTCTCTAGGCGCTTCCATGACATCACACAAGGCTTGCGCACAGCCCCATTCTTGTGTCACGGGAGTTCCAACTGCCATGCCCTCCTGATTTTCTTCGTCTTTGAAGCCAAAAACATAGTACTGTTTTCCTTTTTTTTTTTTTTTTTTTTTTTTTTAAATAAAAGCTTGGGTCATTAAGTTTAAGTTTGATTCTTTCCCTGTTTAGAAAATGTGCTCAGTAGCCGAAGCCGGTTTGGCTCAGTGGAAGAGCGTCGGCCTGGGGACTGAAGGGTCCCGGGTTCGATTCCGGTCAAGGGCACGTACATTGGTTGTGGGCACATCCCCAGGGGGTAGTGTGCAGGAGGCAGCTGGTCGATGTTTCTCTCATCGACGTTTCTAACTCTCTATCCCTCTCAATTCCTTTCTGTGTAAAATTAATAAAATATATTTTAAAAAAAAAAGAAAGGAAGAAAATGTGCTCAGTAGGGTTTCTTATAATTAAGACTTAAGCCTTCTTTGTGGTCTAGTAGATGACCAGTTTTTATGTATGTGCTAAGGACTTAGGAAAGTATGTGTGAGATGTATCTAATCAGTAAATAAAAGAGAGAAATTGTAACCAATTAGAGTAACCCAACATTTTTGTTTTAAAAAATAAAATACAGCCCTGGCTGGTTTGGCTCAGTGTAAAGAGTGTTGGCCTGTGGACTGAGGGGTTTCAGGTTCAATTCCTATCAAGGGCATGTGCCTTGGTTGCAGACACATCCCCAGTGGGGAGTATGCAGGAGGAAGCTGACCAATGTTTCTAGCTCTCTATCTCTGTCCCTTTCTCTCTGTAGAAAAAAGAATAAAAAGTATTTTAAAATAAAATACAAATATCCATAAAGATGAGATACATTAGATAGGGGAAAAAAAATCTATAAAATGCTGCAGTGAAAACATTTACTCATAATTTATACAGTTTTATTGCAGTAATCTTAATTTTTAACCTAATCACCACCATTTAAGTTATCAAACATAACATGATTGGAGCAGTCAGTATAAAGAATGCATTATTACTAGGAAAATAAATTATAAAACTATAATTTACATATTGGACAGATTTCCTTTCTGTTTTCCAAATTGTTTATATCTTATATTATACAAATGTCATAAAGATTTGTGAATGTGTTTTCCATTTTTATAGATAAATAAATATGGAAAACTAGACACTAAAAAATCAAGAAAAACTATTTGAAGGTTATATTATTGAATATGACTTTTTTCCATATTTTTCTTCTTTGTACTTTACAATTTTTAAATTATTTTGGGTTGCGTAATTTTTTAAATTCACAATAAATATTTTTCTTTAAGTTACTACTTGATTTGTATATGAATTTTTTTTAGATAGCCAGTACAAATATATTTGGTAAAACACAAGCAAAAGAATAATGAATGTAGTAGTTGATCTTTATTTTCAATATGACTTGATTGCAATATGCAACTGATTCCATAAATGCAATGATAAAGAAAAACATTTTCAAAAATCAAAGTTTATAGCCAAAGAGCATGAGTAGTCCCAACATAGAGTAATGAAGTAAGTCTTATTACGAAACTATTAAATGCTGTTGCATGAATTATTTCAAGAGGTAAACATTCTGTGGTTAAAAATTTGATATTTGCTTATAATTAACCTTATTAATTATAATGTTTAAATCTTCCTTTAAGTTTATATTTTTATTAAAGTAATACATATCATTAGTATATAAAGCATTGCTTTTTCAAGCAGTTTTAATTAAGACATGAAGTAAGAAATCCATTCTCTCTTTCCCTTTGATATACTAGTATATTATGGAAGCTGCAGAACAATTTGGGAAGTATTACCCCAACAATATTAAGTCATCCAGTACATGAACACAGGATATTGTTCTATTTATTTTCATTTAATCTATAATAATAAAAGCATAATATGCTAATTAGACTAGACAGCCAAACGACCTTCCAGACATCCTTCTGATGAGGGCCACAAGGGCCGAGCCCCTTGCACGAATTTCATGCATCAGGCCTCTACTATGTTATAAAACACTATGAAGTGTTTAGTGTATAAGTTTCACACATCTTTTGTTAGTTTTTGTTGTTAATATTCACTCGAGGATATTTTTCCACTGATTATTTTTTGAGACAGTGGAAGGGAGAGGGAGAGACAGACAGAGAGAGAGAAAAATTGATGTGAGAAAAACACATCAATTGGTTGCCTCCAGCCAGTGCCCCAACCAGGGGCAGGAATTGATCCTTCAACTGAGGCATGAGCCCTTGACCAGAATCACCGAATCTGGAACACTTCAGTCTGCCTGGCTGATGCTCTATTCACTGAGCCAACTGATTGGACTCTTTTGTTATAAATGTTTTTAAGGATTTCAATCTTTTTTATGCTGTTTTAAATAAAAATTATTTTCCTGATTTCATTTTTGGGTTACTTTTAGCATATAGAAAGATAATTAATTTTATATGTTGATCTTTAATCCTACAGCCTTCCTAAACTGAACTGATTTAATAGTCCCAATAGTTTTTTTTTAGAGGATTCCTTAGGATTAGAAATTTCTGTATTTAAGACTATATCATCTGAAAGTAGGGATAGTTTAAATTCATCCTTGGCATTCTGGGTTTATTTTATTTCATTCCCTTGCCCTCACTAGAAGTTCTATAAAATGTTGATTAGAAGTGATAAGAGTAGGCATGCTTGTCTTGTTACTGGTCTTAGGGGAAAAGCTTTCAGGCTTTAAGATCATTAGTATAATGCTAGCCATGGTTTTTTAAATATACATACTCTACCAGGTGAGAAAGTTATTTTCTATTCCAAATTTGTAGAGTATTCTTATCATGAAGGGGTGTTGAATTATGTCAAATATGGTTTTTTAATCTCTTGAGTTTGTCTTAACAAATATTTCACAATCTTATTCAAGGTTTGTTTATGTAGGCAAACTTTATACCATTTTTAAATTACTTTGAGTGCATAACTAAGATAACAGTATAGGTAAACACCTGTACTTATAGCCTCTCACAATCATGTAAAAATTAAAACTAAAATAAAGAACAAAAGGATAGAAAATGGCAGCCAAATAGGCAGCAGTGCCATGCACCTCCACTTAGAGCCAGGCCAAAAAAGCAACTGAATCAGAGAACATCCACCCTGAATTAATAAGTTAAACATAACTGAAGAGACAGTTTTTGTCAAGGAAGGGCAGAAAACACCTAGAGAACCCTGCATGCCAGCCATAACCTTCATGAAAATACCACGTGCCCTCTCAGTCAGTGGTGCAGTAACTCCCAGTAAGTTCCCAGAGATTTACAGGGTGTGTGCTGCAAGAGTGAGCTCCTGCACCAGGCCTCGTCACCAGCCTTCTGAGACACAGCATCCTGGGATCTGGCTCCAAGATCCCACAGTGAGTGCAAGCCAGGAGGCACCCTGTTCCTCACCACCACCCCAGACCCAAGAACCATGCTGCTAGCCTGACCCAGAGCCAACTGCACCTGCTCCGCCCCCAGCACCAGGACCTGCTGTTGAGGCGACCCGGAGCAACCCAGAACACACCACAGGGGAGCTCTGATTGTGCAACCCAGAACAACCCATGCCCACTCCACCACAGCACCTGGGACAGTCCTGCCAGGGCCATTCAGAACAACCCAATGCTCACCTCACTCCGGATGACAGGGGAGCACGATCTGAGTGACACAGGGCAACCAACAGAGGCTCTATGCTGAGGAGGGGCGAATTGAAGCAACTAGCACAGGTCTCAGACCATGCTACAAGAAAGCCAGGACTGTGTGACCCAGAGCAACATGCACCTGCTTCTCCCTGGACCGGGGAGAGTCCTGTAGGGGCTACCCAAAGAAATCTAGCACATGCCACACTCCGGGCCATAGGAAAGTATTGCCAGGATGACCCCAAGTAAGCTAGTGTGCCCACAGGACCCTGTCACAAGTGTGCTGTCAGAGGGACATAGGGTACCACCCTGCCTCAGGTGCCATGACTGCACAGCAAAATGCATGCCAGAGGGCTCTGGAACCTCACAGGGAGTCACACATCAGAGGAACTATGCATCTGTTCCCACCACCCTGAGCATCTGAAGTAGACAACTGAGGGACCAGATGTATGGGAAAAGGGAATAAAATGCAGAAGAGACTATAGAGGTGTGAGATTCAAGGCAGATGCAGCCTATAGGCCAATGATTTCTGGACCATTGCCCTGAGAGATATTCAACCTCTCAAACCATAAGCAGTGTACCCAGGGCCAGAAGAAAAAGCAAAAATGGGAAGAAAAATAAACAAACCCCAAAGGAAAGGAAAGGAAGAATTGTCAGAAAAGAAACTAAATAAAACAGAGGCAAGTCATAAGTCATAAAAATAATTCAAAGTAGAGGCCGGGCCCCAGACTTGTGCGCACTGCGCACAGAGGACAGTCTGTTGACTCTGATGCTGGACTCCCCTAGCGGGAAGGAGAAAAAAGCTCCAGGCTGGGGGAACGCGGCAGGGAGCAGGAGCCCCTGCCAGACTCCGGTCAACCGGGAACCAGCAAGGAGCCTGGCGAAGGGGCCCATGGGGGGTGGGTGCCCCTGAGCCTCCCACCGCTGAGCGCTGGCAATGGAGCCAAGGCTGGGGGGCTGCTTCCTGGGTGGCGCCGTCCCTGGCAACAGGCTAAAGCAGCGCAGGAGCATGCGGAGAACAAAGGGGTGCCACAGGCCAACCTGCTGAGCTCCTAGGACAAGGAGGAAGAAACCAAAGAAGTTCTCAATGTGAAGAAATCAAGTGAGAGCAAAAGATAGTAAAATTACTTAAGAAAGAATACAAAAAAGTTCTTGAAAAATCAAAGACTAAGTCAGAACTCAACTCAACAGCCAACATTGCAACATAAATGCGTTTTAAAAAAGAAAAAAAGAAAAAAAAAAAGG